ACCAAACAGAAACGATGTGACACGAATGTTAAGTGAACGAACTATAGTGACACCACCCTACATTTACGGGTACTCTATTGTAAGTCATTCTCACTCGTGCATCCTTTCTTCATACAATTACTGACTAAATATTCGCAATGGGTGAATTCGCGTATAGGTATATTATATAAATAGAATCGAGACACGAATGCACAGAAACGGTTCCACAATTGTAAATTGTACAAATGTCTTTATATACATATATGTAGCGCGAATAGCAAAGCTACGATAACAGGTATATGTATGTATACATAATTGTAATATGCAAGTATACGGCATACGGCTATACATATTTGCTTGTTTGGTTGTTGCTCGCGACTTTTCTATTTGCAACGCACGCGTGTATGTAGAGACAGACTGGCAAAGTGTTCGTAGTGGTTGGATAAACAACAACTTTGACTATTCATCGATGGGGTAGTTATCTATCGAATAGTCACACGGGGGAACGAACGCTGCACTCTTGCGTCTATTTATATCGAATCCGTGGGCATACCGGACCAGACTGGCGCGCCGCCGCCGCCGCAGCGACTCTGGTGCGCTTGCTGACAATTCCGGCGACACACGGCACACGGCTTCTCTCAACCGCCCGGACCGCTTAGGTTAAACTTATCACGTAGCCTACTCGAAATCCGCCACGCGAACAACGCATTCTCTTTAAAGAATCGAAAGAAAAGACTGATCTTGATTTTTTTCTTCATTCACAAATGATATTTCAGACGACTTGTACACGAATAATCGAAAATGTATGTACTTACATACATTTTCTGGAAATGCTTTTTCGTTGCATCTTTACCTACTGTCGTGTGATCTTTAAAAATGAACTGGAAATCCTTGTCGTGTGATCTTTAAAAATGAACCGGAAATCCTTATCGTGTGTACGCGAAACGCCGTATTCATGCTGTTGTACTTTTTTACATTCATATACCATTTATCTGTGTTTCATTTGTTTGACCATCCGCTAAATGTTCAAACTTGCATGCAGTACCCACATATGTATGTACATGTACATATATGTTAGTAATATGGTGATCAAGTGGGAAGTGGTCATGGTAGGTCATCTCTTTGAACTGCAGTGGCATATATGTATGTATGAATCATTCGCATTCGCTGTCGTCTTATGCCGGATTTTCATTATTCGATACATAGTCGGCTGTTAATAGCTGTCTAAATAATGTTCTACAATGGATTTTGCGCGATGATGTTCACTCTACCCGTGTGGTAGCACCTTTGAAGAATGTTTTCAAGGGTATTAGCAATCGGCTACAGTCACCGACAGTTAAAAGTAAATTTTACATTTTAATTTCTCTAATAAAGTAGAGAAGCAAATACGAAGGAATGAGAAACGTGTAGAAATTGTGTGACTGGTCTAATATGTATGGGATTTCAGTTTCCCTAAAATACTGATACCGAGTGCGAAACTGCTCGAAGCAAATTGAAAGTATAAATGGAAAAGTCCAAGATTTCGATGAATTCCAACAACAACAACAACAACAAGTCCTTTGTTATACTGTGAAGAAACAGGTCGACTATAATTGCACTGTTCTCTTGTATACCATGTACGTATGTATGTATGTCGTGTCCTTTACTTGCCTATGTCATTTTCTACTAAACGTGGTCTTTCTTATGCGCGCATACGAATAGGGCAGTGTAGATACATACATACATACCTATGTATGTAGCTCTGTGCTGTGTTCTGTTCAATGCTTTGTTCATCGGCTCTTTCGCGAAAATGGGTAAGTAGGTACAGCTTTTTCACGTTACCGCTATCAAACCGTTTGTTCGGTACGATGTTATAGACAAGAATACAACGTAAAAATAAAATATAAAAAAGAATACTGATTCTGATCCAGAAGGTTGCAATTCATGTTACATAGTATCTACATATAATTTAATACAATATGTCGTTAGCGAATATGTAACTATGTGTGTCCGTTTACACATTATACATGTTTATTGTAACGAAAACGACCACTTATGCTCACTATCTCCAACGCTAAACTTTTGTAGCAAACAAGTTAGTGGAATTTCATATTCTATTTGCGTACTCGTACAAACTGGACTACCGTGTTTTCGATCAATGAAACACGCGTATAGATATATGTACCTACGTAAAAAGGTCGTTACGAATCTGTTCGTTTCGTTTAAGACCAGAGCAACATTACCACTTAAAAACAGAACGTGTGATCCGAAAGAAATACATAATAAGTACTCGATTGAAAAAATTTAATAAAGTATGTGAACGATTTGGCTCGAAATTTCAGAGTCACCCGATGAATATACGCACCTACTTTTACGCCTACCTTAGTGTATGGATTCGCGATCGACCACCCGTATACGGATATACTCTTCGTAAAGGTACACACTTATGCATACATAAAGGCAGCGATCACCTCGGTTAAAACTCCCGGCAAGGTATCAAGCAACCAACCGTGCAAACATGTAAGCATACTAACGTGCACTCATACGAAGATATCCCTATGGGTATTTGCATTCAATGCTCTTACCTACCGAGCAAGTATGTACAATATCCCTTCTACAGAGTTCTACATAGGCATTGCCACCACTGCCACTGCTTCTCGCCCTTTCTAACCGGTCCCCTTGTACCATTGTGTTTATTTATGCACTTTAATTATATCGAATATGGTACTGACAACACTAACGCTTGACTTTACACACACACACACACGCGCGCGCGCGCGCGCATGCACTCTCCTTTTATCAGTACATACTGCATTGAATCGATGCAATTAGAATCCTAGGAATACGTGAAAGTAGTTACAATTTGTTTAGTAGAAGACGAATCGAATTTTTACGACCGAACAATATTCTAGATACAATTTGTAACTCTTCAATCTCCCTACCCGCCCGCCCTTTCATACGTTTCGCCTGGTCCTGATATTTGTGCCACTTTTTAGAGAATATTTATTAGAAATACGTACATATATGTACTAGAATTTCGAATATTTTGTACGCAATGAAAATTTTTCTCACTTGAGATTCGTGGTACAACGAAACGTTCGTTTTGTCGATAAGTTTGATAGATTTCCAACGTTAAAAGACATCGTGTGTTTATTTAAACACACCCCGTTTTCAAATGAACGTATGACATCTAACGTTGGATGTTTGCAATTATACTAATTATTGTTTGACCAACGATTTACTTTATCACTGGATCATCTCACGATTATCCGAACCGTTTGCGTCATTTCCCAGTATTTTATCCATCTTACAACAAGAGCTATGTACCTCGTTTCGGAGGACTCGTCTCGCGCAGATGGTGCTACTCCCGCACGGTCTAACGGGCATAACCGTTTGTCTCGTCCATACACGCGTGGCATGAAGGGTACGCGCCTGCTGCTCTCATTAGTTGGTTCCTGCGGCTCGCGAAAAAGCCTGGGGGTTATACGGTCGACTGGGGTGCGAATAGTGAAAAAGACGAAGGGGGCGAGACGGGAGATCCAAGAACCCTTCAATTCTTTCGCTCCAGATCTAGCGTCCGTTAATTGGAGGTTGTTTGACTACGCACCAGCTACACCCCTCTCCCTTTACCTTCATATCTGCTCCCCTCCCCTCTCCCGCTCATCTCCCTCGTCTCACTCTCTTCCGCTTTATGGATACATATGTATGTATACAATATACGTATGTATGCAGATGGATAGGTATACATATATTGGCAAAAGTTTCAAACACTAATCTTTAAAATGAAGTGAACAGTAACGAATTAGGCCGATTACTTTATTTCATTATTGGGGGAACGACACGTATTACAAAGTTTTCCCATCGTCTATGATGTCCATACGCGTGTACAAGTTACGAGCCTCCCACTGAAAGAATTTGATTCAAATAAGGAACGATGAAAGCTGTTCAAACTGTACCGCTCGGACGTATACATATAACATTGTTTGTACGGCGTTAACGATGAGCAAACAGAGCAGAACGGTTTAGCCGATACACTTCCTAGGTCATCATGTGACTCATCATTTGACCGAGGACCGAGACCATACAAGAGAAAGGTCCAAGTCAGTATGGATGCTGAATCAGAATTTTTGTTTGTTCATTAGAGATTTGAATGACTTGAAAAAGTACGTGTATAATTCGTTGCTGCCTTCTTGCTGTGATTATTATCTTACCAATGATTCGATTCGAAAAGGCGTTTACATATGTACCTATTTTTATAGATTCTTTCTTCAACTTATGCGAAGAAAATTAATTTTTAGGTACACAGACAAGTTCGACAAAGATTCATACTTTTCGAAACTATATGACGTGAATGTACCTACCGCTTTAAGTTTTCGTAATCTTTAATTCCCAATGACGCGACGGATAAATATGTACATTATTATGATGGTGTTACTTATGTCGAAATCAAGTCTGAAAATCGAAATGAAACAGTTAACAGGACAGAAACTACCGTAAAATTGGAAAATAGTTTGGAAAGAAATAGACGGAAGAAGCTGTAAGAAGAATTCGCTTTCCGTTCCTTTTATTCTAGAAAAAGTATCGACAGTAAATTCTACAGTAGTGAAATCTCTCTGTCCAATTTCCCGTTTCCCATCGATTTACCAGCAAACGGTTTCGTTCTGCGTGCCGTATTTCCATTTAAGGCTTCCATAAATCTTCTTGTAACGTTAAATGCAGCTTCTTTGTTCTAAACGGCATAACGCTTTGTCGGTACAACCGATCTGTGGTATTCAAGAAACGTCGATTTCGATAACATCGATGCACGTGCAATCATAAAAGTGTAAAGCTTTTTAGAATGACGACATTTACTTACATATGTATAATATGTACATACATACTTGTATGTATACATACGTAGGTATAATAGTTTTATCGATCATCCACACGTATGTGCATACTATACTATATGTACCTACATGTACAGTTTCGAACGGATGCATTTGTCTCGATGCAGTCGCTCGCAAGAAAATAAATGATTTTGTTTAATATATTTGTTGCAGTGCTAAGAGATGAATTTCGAGCGGAACCGCAGAACACTAGAGTCGCAGCTGGTGAAACCGCTTTATTGGAATGCGGACCACCCCGGGGACATCCGGAGCCAAGTTTACATTGGAAAAGAAACGGTCATACGATAGACCCAGATGCTACTAAACGGTATTATGATCAGATTTCTACACATTCTAGATTCAGTTTTCTATCTATCATGTTTTGAACCGAACTAAAAATAGACAGTAAGTACGGAGGGCTACAGCAAAGTTTTTGCATGAAACTGGGTCGAACTGAAACGCGTCGATGCATTACGTTTTTGTTCAAATATAAATACGACAAGTACCATTAAAAACATAACGAGCAAGAGAATACCTACGTGTAACAAGTGTTAAGTAATAATTGTCGAGAGAATCGAAAAAATTGCTACGTCTCGTTAAAACTCATAGCCAAGCAGAATCTTCTTGCTTGGAAGTGTTTCCCTTTCCATTCCGTTCTTTCTATGTATCTATACTCGAAAATCCATGTATGTACATATTCACGTACATACATACATAGGTGGGTACCCAATTGTATACTTATCGATCTTTGCTTTCTTCTCTAATATGTAGAATCACGTTGGTCGATGGCGGAAATTTGATGATCTCCGATGTTAGACAGACGGACCAAGGAAAATATAAGTGTGTTGCCGAGAACATGGTGGGAGTGAAAGAATCTGGAGAAGCAACTTTAACGGTTCATGGTAAGAGATTACTCACGAAAACTGGGAAAATGAGAAACAAGTAGACTATTTTATGTATCTCTACGTAGGATATACATATAGTATGTACATACCTACATTTAATATTTCGGTTCTTGTTCCCTCTCAGTGAAACCGTTCTTTTTGGCAACTCCATCGAATCAAACGATCTTGACAGACCAAACGGCTGAATTTGCCTGCCGTGTCGGCGGTGATCCCCCACCTGAAATACTTTGGAGACGAAACGGCGGAAAAATGCCGATTGGGCGAGCACATATTTCGGACGATAAGAGCTTGCGGATTGAGAAAGTAATGTCGCAGGACCAGGGAACGTACATTTGTGATGCTGAGAACGGTGTCGGTGCAATATCAGCGAGTGCAATTCTCACGGTACATTGTGAGTAATATAATCAGTCAGTTCATTCTTGTTTCTGTACATCGAGGAAATGGACTTGTACAGAAGCGAAACTTTTCATTCGTGCTACTTCTTTCTAGCGAGACCAGTCTTCACTAATTTTCCAAAGGACGAGGTCGTCGGCATCGGTTCGAACGTATCATTTTCTTGCGCGGCGCGCGGTGCACCGAGACCTTCTATATTTTGGACTCGCGAAGGTTCCCAAGAACTGATGTTTCCAGAAAACGAATATCAAGGTCGTTATAAAATAACGGAAGACGGAAGTCTGTACATCAGGGGAGTCGTGGCAAAAGACGAGGGACATTATGTCTGTAGCGCGATCAGTCAAGCTGGTGCGAGTACGGCAACGGTTTTCCTTCAGGTATCGATATTTCGTTAAATTCGTAGGTAAATATAATAAATTCGGTTTAACATTTATATCAGTAGTTGAATTTCAATTTACTAAGTGGTAGGAGACTTTTCTTCTACGCCACTTTTTCCCCTAACGGAAGCCGAGTTTGCTCGCGAAGGTACATTACATACCATGCAGGTATCTATACATATATGTACATATGTATACATACATATGTATAGTTGACGTATAGTGGACATACCTGCCTCCGTGCACTTAAACCTATAATAAATAGAATTCCTTGTTAATGCATATCCATTGTACCTATTTATCTCAAGATTTCTTATGTCTTGTCGATCTTAGGTTACTTCGACCGAAGAAGCCCCACCACCTATCATTGAATTGGGAGCGACGAATCAGACGATGCCCCCGAAGAGTGAAACATCGATGCCGTGTCGCGCCGTTGGAAGACCTACTCCGAAGATATTCTGGTTCAAGAACAACGAACTCGTGCGAGAGGATGGCGGGGAGAAACGATTCACGATCACGAGTAACGGTACTCTCTCGATAAAGAATCTTCAGACGAGCGACACGGGGATATACAGTTGCATTGCTTCTTCCGTGTCTGGGAATACGTCGTGGTCCGCAAGCTTGACGGTTAGCCCGGAAGCAAGTTACCACCGCGGTATCGTACCAGACCTATCGGGTCTGCCCGAAAGCCCCAGTAAACCAAGAATAGTGAATGCAACGAATAACGCGGTTACACTTACTTGGAGTCCAGGCAACGACGGTGCAGGCAAGACAATCGATTACACGATCGAGTACTTCGCTACAAATCCCAAGACAGGCTGGGTGGTCGCTGCGACGAAAATTACCAACGATATCTATACCGTAAGAATGCCTAATAAGTGTGTGTACCTATCGCGTATCGGTGATTACTGGTGGTGATCGGTGTGTCTGGTCGCGTGTCGTAACATTTTCCTCTATGTTGTCCAGGTAACGAGTCTGAAGCCAGACACCAATTATGTGTTCCTTGTTCGTGCCAGAAACAATCAGGGTACTTCACTTCCCGGACCCCTTTCGGATATTGCACGGACCAATAGCCTCGATCAACAGCAGACGATCCCTCAGACTGAACTGATTCGTGCGAGAGACCGTCTGAATAGCGAAATTCTTTACTTGAAGGAGGTTCAACCTCGAAGCAGTACCAGTGTTAAGATCATATGGGATGTAGGTGTAAACTTTAATCGATATTTTTTTTTCACTTCAAAATTCATTATATTTACACAATTTTTAATCAGTCCATCAATATCCAAAGTAATCGAATAATATTCTTTTCAATTCAATTCGAATTCCATTCAATTCAATGCAATCGAAGAGGTACAATCAAATTCATTCAGTTGTTGTTTAACTTTCTTGATAATGTTTAACAGATTCTCGGGGCTGCCGATTTGGTCGAAGGTCTCTACATAAGATACCGTGAAGCTTCCGAGAAACCCGAATATCGAATGGTCACGGTATTGAATGCTGGTGCAACTAGTTATGTTTTGACGAATCTGAACAAGTACACGCGATACGAGTTTTTTTTAGTTCCTTTTTTCAAAACTATCGAAGGTAGACCGAGCAATGTGAAATTGGCCACCACGTTGGAGGATGTACCGTCCGGTGCGCCAGAGAACGTTCATGTTGGCATGATAAACGTTACTTCAGCGTTCGTTCGTTGGTCTCCACCGCCAAAAAATACACAAAATGGCCAGTTGGTGGGATATAAGGTACGGTGATTCACACGTACACGTTTAATCGCCTTTTTCATACGCAAAGCATTTTCTCTCTTTTCGAGCGTTCGCCTTTTTTTTCTTCTTTTTCTTTTAGATTCAAATCAAGAGCAACAGCAGCAACAAGGTCTTGGGTCAGATGTCTTTAAACGCATCTACGACTTCGGTAATCATTAACACCTTCACGACCGGTGGTCTTTATACGGCACGTGTCGCCGGATTAACTCGCGCGGGACTCGGCCCGTTTTCCAATCCGACTATTCTAAACATGGATCCAGGACAATTGACACAGTTACCACCGCGAACGGATCCAAGTCAAGGAAGTGCTTCCATTATTAGTGAAACATGGTTTTTGATTCTGATGATAACGGTCGTGTTGACTGTTATCGCCGCATTTGTGGGGGTCGTTTACGTTCGACGAAGACAAGCGATGGGCAAACAGCTTGGCCATTTAAATGTTCCCGTTGGTACGGCCAACGATATTTGCCAGTTAAATAAGGACACTTTGTGGCTAGAGCGTGGTTGGAGACCGAGCAACACCCTTCAGGCCTCGGCGACCGACAAAGATTGCGAAACGAAGCTTCTTAGCAATCAGAATCAAATCGGCCTACCACCGGGCATCGTCGGAATGACAGGCTCGGAATACGCCGAAGTTAATTTAACAACGTTCTACAACACGAGAAAACAGCTCCAAGCTCCACCGGAACCGTATGCCACGACCACCCTTTGCATGCCAACTCGTAGCCCGGAATCGCTAGAAACTAGCGGTCGAAAGTCCAATTCGAGCGACTCGTGTCTCAAACCAGACTATTCCAGTTTGGATTCGAATCTGGATCGCAATAAATCGACGATTTCCCCTTGTAGCGACAACGCCAGCAGCGTTTACAATGGCGGCGAGGATAGTAACGCGGAACCGCACAAAAGAACTCATCAGTATAGAATGCCGCTTCCGAACGAGAATCAACCACCGAATTGGTGCGACATGTTACCGCCTCCTCCAGAACATTCACCTTCTTTCGAGGGATCCCTCGGTTCTGCAAGGGCGCATTCACATTCTCATCAACACCAACACCAGTACCAGTATCAGTATCATCATCATCATCATCATCATCATCATAATCAACAACAACAGCATCAGGTTTCCCATCAGTATCAACATCAACATCACTACCAACAGCAACAACCGTATCAAGCCGCGTTTAGCCCTCACCTCGGAAAACGAAGCGTCGACAGACAGAACGATTTAGACTTGATGACTGGATCCGGATTAGCGTTGGGGTTAGGCTTAGGTTTGAGTTCGAATTCAAATTCGGGTTCCGCTTCTGGTTCTGGTTCTGGCTCTGGTTCCGGTTCCGGTTCCGGTTCCGGTTCCGCTTGTGGCTCTGGTCCAGGATCTGGAAATTCTCAAAGTCCCCCCAGTCCACCGATTAGAACAACGAACAACTTGAGCGGTTCGGGATTGGTCTGGAACGGTTCGAGTCAGCAACAGCAGCAACACCAACAACAACATCAGCAGCACCAACAGCAACAACAACAACAACAACAACAACAACAACAACAACAACAACAACAACAACAACAACAACAATTATACGATGGTTCCGCTCAACAAACCAGTAACGTTCATCAACAAAGTAGATATACGAGTTTGCCTCCGCAGACAAATCCACCGGCATTGCCTGCTCTCCCACAGGGATTCGAACGTTACGAGTACAAAACTAGCCAAGAAAACGAGTACGAAAGTGGTTCTCTTTTGTACGAGCAGCGAAACGACTCACCGTTGGAGGATTATGATTCCAGCGCGTATTGTCGTGTAAACCGGACAGATTCTCATTCGGAGCAATCGATCGTAAATGAAAACATGTATCGACGACACGACGAAGACCCCTATCCGACGGAGAATCTCTATCAACCCGAGACTGAGGATTGGGACAGAAAGTCGTGTGACTCAAACGCACACTCGGACGTTTGTTGTTCCTGTTCCGAATCGAGTTGTCTTTACGGTAACGCGCTCGAGTACAACGATCAGCAGTTCACCTCCACGTCGACGAATTGTCTTCACGGTAGAACCGGATCTCGAAGCAGAAGCGGTAGGAGCCCGCGTAGAAGAAATACTAGAAATTCTTCACCGACCTACAGTAGCGGTGATAGTAATTACTCTGATATCATCACTTTTACTTACAATTTGTTATTCTTCTCCCTTAGACAAAGTGCCTAGTTTCACCAGAATCGGCGGATATCCTCAACACAATTCCACGGGTTCGAATACAGTCAGCAGTTCCGGAAGTCAAAGGTACAACAAGTTGAATAACGTGTTCGTCGGGGGTGGCAATTCGAACGTTGCTCCTGCAGACTGTAGTCGACCGGCAGATCTCCGCGATGGTTAATGTAATAATTTACATAAGACGGTATAGCCGGTGAACTTTCCTATCGTCGAGACAAAATACTTACAATTAGTGAAAAGCATAACCGTATATTATCACTATTCTCGACTGTCGTGGTAAATACGGACGCAAATTCATTCACAAACCGATCGCGATCTCTGTGTATCATCGCTTGATTCTTAGACGTTCTGTTCGATACATTGTTGGCTGCTTCGTTCCTTTCGTTCGCTTACTGTGAGAGTCTGTCCTATCGATATTCTAAATTTCGCTACCTTTCTTTTCGATCATTTTCAACCGACACTGGTACATTATGCAGGTAGGTACATAATATTATGTATATACCTACATATAAACACCTTGCGTCCCGTATGCCAACCAAGTGTGTCACTCACCGTGTTGGATCATAGACACTTTTCACACGTAATTCCTCCAAAAAATTTTCTTCTTTCCAACCCTTTTTCGATACGGTCTCGCCACCGAATATATAAATAGAGACAAAGTTGAAGTTATACCTGCGCCCGATCAAAAGCGAGTGTTCTACATTCTAAATTATGGTCAGCACAAGAAGTGTATATACGTTGAACGGTATGCCTATGTATACATATATTATTATACATAGATAGTTTGATTTTACGGAGAGACACCGGTAATTTACAATTTAAACTGCCACATTTTCGATTACTATCCGTTCGTGCGTACTTCGACCAAGCGCGGCATTTATTTTACAGAGATTTTACATTCTCACCGCAATGTTCCATAAAAATGTATTGCTTTTAACGATATAACGTTCCTAAACTTTAAGGAAGTCTTAAAAATCTATCGTGTCGAGCGTAAGGAGGTGACTCGCACGATTTTTCTTAGAAAGGTCCATTTCTAAGAATACGTGCGACCAAGCATCGTATTGTAATAATGGCTAAAGTGTAAAAAACATTGTCATATCGAGAGAAATTTTGTACAAGTTTCATGCACTGAGTTTTCGCTGTTAAACTGACGGGATCGTGATTATTGATTGGCGTTCTTGGATTTCCTGTCGCGTACCTCAATTCGATCATTTTTCCGAAACGAGGCACCGAATATTTGCGTAACGTCAAAGGTTTTTATCTTCGATAATGACCGCCAAATACAACGTAACGCCAATAGTGTGTATTACGACAGCTCAACGGGATACGAATGAGAGAAACGCGCAAACGGATTTCAATAATAAGCCAAATCGAGAGTATGTGTGTGTGTGTGTGTGTGTGTATGTGTGCTGGATATGTATATGTATCCATATACATACATATGTATAGCTGGACCCCAGAGCCAGAATGTATTAAGTTACACTTTTCAAACATTAGAGGAGAGTAAATCAAAGGTGCGAAAACCTTGTAACTTTGGAACCATTCGGTAACCATTGAGCGAAAAACAATCGCTTCCTTCGAGCTATTGAATGGTTTTAAGACAAGTCTCCGTATGTAGAAATGGTGAGATTTGCATGAATTCCACCATGTGATGAATTTTACACTGTTTCAAAAATATGAACTTAATATCATTTTTAGACTATAATGTACCTATATTAAAAACTAGACGACTTAGAACGAAATAATTTTTACGATCGGATAGAGTGAAATATCTGATACAAGAAACGTGTAAAGTTTTAAATGTTTCTAAATAGATACGCTCTTCATTTAGCGAAGAGATTTGTTGGCGAGAATTTCGTTAGAATTCAAATCCTTTGAAAAGAAGGGAGAATAATGCGGGGTGGGGGTCGAGTACGAAGTGAATTATAGGTGAACAACACTCGCATTAATAATCGCTCAAATCCCATGTAATTAGTTAAATATTTAAAAAAAAAAAAGCAAAAGTAACAAAAACTGCCTGGTTAATTGCGGTAGTAGTAAAACGATAGTTAATTCCTAATTAAAATGAAATAAAAAAAAAAGACGGATACTAAAAATACTGCCGAAAACTATAAATTTCGTAATATTACTTGACTTAGATGAAGTATAATGGTAATGATAAACTGAACTGTAAATCAACCGCTCGAAACAAAATTCGTGAATGAAATTCATCGATTCGTCGTAGCATGTGTAGATACAAGTGTAATCCATCCAGACAGGTGAGGAGCGAAAAATTTAATTAACCGATAAAGGAGTTCTCGTTTTTGTAGCGTGTTTAGATTAGAACACGAATCGAAGAAATATAGGCACGTAGAACATATATTTTAAGTAACCATTCACCGTAACGATACTCGAACTGTTTTCATATACATACATGTAAATCCGTTCGGACGTTAGGTACGCTGAGTTTGCCAAATTTCATTCAAGTTTAATAACTTAATAAATGGCCACCGCTCTAGACACGTAGGTAATTCTTCGGAAAAGAGAATACCTTCGACTTTGTAAATAGAAACGTTGTTCAGATTTTTCACGGAATGAACGAAAGATCGATAGTAATTAATACTTACTTAGGTACCGAAAACGATTCGTTCGAGATCGAGAGCTCATAGTATTTTCGTTATGCGGTAAAACGGACATTCACTTTGCGTCGAACCATCCTATCAATTGGCGAGAAAAAAGTAACATGTTATTTTTATAGTTTTTAAAACTTGCGCGATTGTTACGATGGTTCGCACCGTTTGTATCATATTATAATACACGTCGAAACTCTTGCAAATTAAACGAAAATTAAAAACAAAAAAAAGAGAGAAAATCACCGCGCGAGCACAGGTTGATTTGCGCGATACGTATAGGCATGCATTTCTTTTCCGCGGCGTCATTTTTTACTTATGTCGATACCACTTGTAACCACAACAACAACAACAACAATCACCTCATTTTCAATCTGTGTTATCGTCCTATCTTCTGTATTTCCTACCTCCCACCGACATCACTCGTAATTTCAATTTACCTTCGGTCCGAATCATTCCTATATTTGCCTTTTTGTTCTCGTATTCGCTCATTCGTTAACCACCGTGTCTACCGACACCACCCACATCGTGAATTGAAACACCGAGCACGGAATTTACAACGAGAAATGTCGGTACTCTTCCGTTTACGAAATAGCCAAATTACATATAATCCAGACTGACTCGTATTCGTAGAAATTAATTAAACGATAAACTGTCCTGTCCCCCGAACGTTTCAACGAAGCATTGAGAAATGATTTCGTAATACGCGCGTTTATCGGACTTGCCAATAAGTGGCTAGTCTCTCACGAAGGGACATCTATTATTATTATACAATATACACACGAATCGATACGAATGACTAACATTCTGTTGATAATCGACTGTGAAGTTTATCGATATTGTAGAGTGTCAGTATATTTTACAGCAGCGAAACATTGTTCACGTCATATCATTAAAATTTAAATAAAAGAATCTGCGCTGATAAGCAATCTGAACACTACAATTCGATAAGTTCGAATTTTAATTGCGAATCTTTTAGCTCCTAAGTCTGAATCTAAACGCCAAGGCTGACGAGTGATTTAGCTTAAATCTTCTTTACATTTTGTAAATAACGCCGCGCGTATGAAACAAAAAGAACGTTTGCTCGAAAACGTTTTCCTAGGCAATAACTTATTTATTATGAAACAAACAAGAATTATTGTCCAGTTTGAACGCATCGTCGCAGAGAACACGAATGCGAATAAAAGAGTCGATTGATACGAAAACTGCAATGTACGCATACACGCAGCAGACACGCGCGCACAAGTGTAGATAATTACAGAATAAGGATCATTATTGTCAAGTACTACGTACACGTATAAAACGTATAAGATATACGGAAACGTTACACAATATACAAGTAACGATTATTAATAAAAGAATTACGTTGAAAATTCAAGCTTATTATCTTTTTTACGTCCCGACAAAATTTACAAAAATATTCAAACAGTAACACAACCGTTAAGTAGGTACACATCCTTTTCTCCCCGTTCCCTGTTGTTTCATCGATGAGCAACAAAACAAATGAAAAACAATTTAATTTGTCAGGTAAATAATTTAAATTATCCAAAAGATCGAAGATTAACCCATTCGTTGCCGATCGGAGCCGTCAGCAGTGAACGTACTGTTAACATCGTTGCGTTCCGTAGAACATAACAGTTCCGCAGTGCTGTGTATCCATCATTTAATCCTCGGGCACCCTTGTCAGATCTGTATGTATATGGGCTCACGTTGTCCAGAGTTTCGTTGGACGACACTTCAGCTTACGATGACCGTCTCGGTACAACGATTGATTACGGTCATATAAATTTAGAACAACAGACAATTAATAAACGTTACGCCTGCAATATCTAGATACATATGATTTACTGTAAAAAAGCACAATTTCTTAGCAACTATTTTTGCAATTTCTATCCAGAATAAAGGGTTAATGTATTAAATATTCATCACGCTACAAAGCCTTGATACGATAAGAGATAATTTTACACCTATGCACATTCACGATTATCCGCAACCACCGCTGCCACAGCAACTACGTTTCGGCGGTCGATATCGTCGAGAATTATCCCCCATCAATGGATTGTAGTCTGTGCAAAATTTAAAAGAGTTACTTCAGTTCCAGACATACTATAGAAGACTAGTTTCAATATGCTATTTTTTCTTCCACAATTACCTCCTTTCAACGATGTAGGTTTCTTTCCCGTAGAATCTAACCGATCGTTATTTTCGTTCCCCAGTTTGTGACCCGAAGAATGGGTGTCTATTAATTTCAATGCTTTCTTCTTTGTTTCTTTCGACTGAACAAAAAAAAAACACACACTCACACACACGTGTTACTCCTTCTCTCTAAACGCATAACTCACAAACCAAACACAGTGCTTAAAAGTAATACAGTTTTCAAATTTAGCAACAGTTTACCTTCTTTTCATCCTGCTGCTCGTGTATACATTTTTGATAATATTCTTGTTGCATTTTTTGCCTCGAAGCTTCCAAAGCTGCTAATCTCTGCTGCAAGAGATCCGGATCTATTCGAACACAAAGAAACAAACTAGTAGTTTTACATATATTCATTATCACATTTCTCTCTTAAACAAAAATACCTACTTTTGTGATATTTTGCGGCATAATCTTGCTCCTCCTTTTTTATCCTCCATTTTGTATATTTTTTTCGAATATACGGAGAAACATACCAAAGAGAGATTATGACTGCAAGTATATACCATCCCATAGATGCTACAGCAGTCCATACTGCGAAAATTTGTAAGGTTTATGTTTATATAATTGTATGAAACTGAATCAAATTGGAAAACCGAACATATCATCATGAAAAAATGCATATACATACGTACCTATGCTCAAATATGAAACTTCGAACAGTCCATGGCCAGCGGAATTCATCTTTTTTTACCGTTCGTCTGTCTCGCCTGTCTATTTATATAAATATATAAGAGTGAAAACTTCGGGCTTCAAAAAGCAGCTATTACTGGAGGAACTTTAACGCACGGTAAACATTAGAAACAACTCGACAGAAATCGTATCGAATCGTAACGACGCAAGCAAACACAAGTATACGTATATGACATACCTATGTAAATACCTACTCTTAAATACTTATGGGGTCGTAAATTAACCATCGAACCACATCGCGCGAACAGTGGCATTGAGCGGCATCAGGCGGCATCGGCTGATACTGATGCCTTGGCACTCAGGCACGATTCTGGATTCTCTTGTAAGATTCCGCATATGTACATAATTGTATACATGATTATAAAAGAATGACGATTGATGATTAACGGTATTTCGTTTACAAATAGAAAAACTGGCATTATGAATTACTATATATATCGCATAATATATTGTGCGAAGAGCTGTTCCTCGCACAGCCCTGACCGAGAAATCAGGATCAGGTTTTTGTCTCCTCTTCATAATTCTGTCAAGCTCGACACCCGACAGTTCACTGGACCGCCCATATGTACGTCTCTGCAACAACTACAAGGTGCGTCTAAAAAGTTCGGTGAATGATCCGACATTTAAACAACAACGCGCGTACATGCATGCTCTTTGAGAGACATGTAAAGAATCGCCCTCTAGTGCCGAAAACACTAAGCTGAAGCAGAGTTGCCTGGATTTGCCTGTGCGACTTGTCGAACGTAGTGTGTGTGAAAACTTGTGTCATATGGAATAATGGCATAAACATAAAATTTTCCTACAAATTGGGGAAAACGGCGACGGAGATCCATGAAATGTTGGTGAAAGTGTACGGAACAGAAGCAGTGAATAAAAAATGTGTTTACGACTGGTTCAAACGTTTCCGCGACGGAAAGGAAGCTGTTGATGATGAGCCGTGTTCGCGAGTCGACCGTCAACAAGCAGAACACCCGACATCATGGAATGAGTGGGATAGATGCTTGCGGATGATCGGCGGCTGACTTTGAGAATGATAGCGGATGAATTAGGGATTAGCAAAGATAGTGTGCACACTATCGTACACGAAGATTTGAATAAGCGGAAGATTTGTTCCCGGTTTGTGCCGCACAAGCTGACTGACGAGCAAAAGACAACACGGATGGAAGAAACGTCTGGAGATTTTATTGACATGTGCGACCGGAATCCGTCGTTTTTGCAAACCATCATCACAGAAGACGAGAGCTGGTGCTTCCAGTACGATCCGAAAACTAAGCGACAGTCAATGGAATGGTGTTCACCGACTTTCCCGCGTCCCAAAAAGAGTCGTCTGACAAAATCCAACATCAAGACAATGTTGATCGCCTTTTTTGACGGCAATGGCATGATCCATCATGAATTTTTACCCGAGGGTCGCACTGTCAACGCCGAATTCTACAAGGAACTTTTGAAACGGCTGCTGCTACGCATCCGGCGTGTTCGGCCAGAGTTGTACCGAACTGGACAGTTGAATCTGCTACAAGACAACGCCCGCCCGCACACTGCGATCCGCATGCTCACCTTCGTGGCTAAACGTAGCGTGACTGTTCTTGAGCATCCACCATACTCTCCGGATATGACGCCTGCAGACTTCTTTTTGTTCCCTCGCCTCAAAGGAGTCCTGAAAGGCCTACACTTTGCAGACGTACCGGATATCCAAAAACGTGTGACATCGTTGCTTCGAGCGATTCCACAAGAAGCCTTCGCAGAATGTTTTCAGCAGCTTTACAACCGTTGTCAAAAGTGTATTGTAACTAATGGAGATTACTTCGAAGGCCAATAAAGATATTTTCTGTGTATCTTTTGTTTTCTTTATTTTCTGAGACCATTCACCGAACTTTTTAGACGCACCTTGTATATGTATATGACTGGTCACACGATGATCACTGAGTTTAGTTATCATCGTGGTCGTTCAATTCAAGAAGTATCGCAAGGAGCGTCTTTCATTTAGTACTTAAATGAATTTCCATTTATTGAAAAATTTCTAATTTACAATCACATACATACAATATACTTACCTGTACGTGTTAGTTTTCGCATAAACTAAACAATGATTTCCATTATTGTATTTGGAACATCGTATATCGCTTTTCATTTGAATAACTCGTTTATAGAATTCGAAGTATTGCGAAAAACTGCATATGTACTTACATATAAAATATTATTAGTATTTATGTACTATATACTCTCATAGTTTATTTGTCTCCTTCAATCTTTTCAGATTCAGTTTACACTTTCTCAAATATCATTCTTATTTTAGAGATCAAGAAATCATGAATTGCAGATGGGCAAGTAATCAACCTGGCCTGAAGAGACAGTGAAATAGAAAGTTTTATACAAAAATATATGTATTTACAATAATGTACATCGAAGTTGACCTCATTCACGAAACACGTTATAATAACTATTTATAACGTGTAAATCTAATTATAAACGTATTATATATGTAACGTCCTAAATTAGTTATTTGCTATTAGTAACCATACTTTTCGTTTAAACTCGTTTTTCCGTCTCCTGCCTGATCTTGCGGAGGTACCCATGTAGAGTAATTATCAGCAAAAATATCTTGATCGCAAGATATTTTTTTTCCCTCTTCTCGATGTGTTCTCGTGACTACTCCAATTTCACGTGTATTCCATTTTTCATTGTCTTTAGTACACCCTTTTATACTAGTCGAAGGAATAGTAACGTCAACTAGAGCACCGGTAGCAGTAGTAGTAGTGCCAGTATTAGCGTTTGCGTTTGCGTCAGTATCAGTAGCAGTAGCAGTAATAGTCACAAAAGTTAAAGACTGTTGTGATTCGAAGATTTCTTTCTTTTCCATAAGGGACTCTCCTTTCTCTTCAGTGTCCGATTCTTCGTCAGATTCTACTTCCACTTTTTCCTCGGTCATCGTACGCGATATCAGTCGATTACTACTTTCGTCTAATCCATAATTATCCATTTTTTTCTGTTGAAAATAGGATAAAAAGTGATATTGTAGTCAGAATTGCAAACATCAGAATAGAGAAACACATCAATGGACTTACCTTTCTTCGCTGAAACATCGAACGTTGAATTTTGCTTGCTTTCGATGATATTTCTTGCGTAGCGTTCATGTTTGTTTTAACACGTCCAACTTCTTGATCCGATGTTACATCTTGTTGAACGAGAGCCGGCAAATTGGCTGGACGTGTCAGGTTTAATAATTTAATTATACCTGCTTCTTCTTTGCGAACAGCTTGTAACTCCACTTTCATCTTAGCTATGTCACTTTTAGTTAAAGTGGACGAATTTAAATTCGACATAAAAGCATCCAGCGCGTCCTCTTCTGATGTTTCCGTCTTTGCGCTATTTTCATGTTGCCAATTTTTAATCGAATCTGTCAGATACGAGATTCTTTTCACAACATTCACATGCTTTTCAAGCTAAAAAGACGAAATTCATAATATTTCTATGGAAACAAAAGGATGATAAATCGCAAAAAATGTATGTATATTTTTAAGGTCCCTCGAAAATCACGAACCTTACCAACGAATCGTATGTTTCGACTGTTTCTTCCAACTTGCCAGCTAGGCGCATTCTTTGTTCGCGTTTCTTCTCTATCGATCCTGTTCTATCTAAAAAGTTATCTTCGTCCGAATCGTAATAATCTTCCGCCTCCCAATTTCTCGTCTTTCTTTTTCTAGCTTCTACAGGAAAGTGTAAAAAAATTTAACGAAACAAATTAAAACTGGCACAAGGTTATAAATTTAATTCTTACCATGATGCGCTTGCCTTAATAACCCATACTTGTCCAAGATTTTACACGCTTCCAGTGCACACTGGACAACTGCTTCCTTCTTCTTGCCTTTAACTAAAGCTTCCGCTTTAAGAGAGTGGCCAACGATATCTTCCATGGGTAAACTAGAATCAATTTCCATAAAGACACACGTCGAACATGCAAACACAGTGTAACCGTATTATAAATTTTACCCAACTAACTCCAACCCTATCTAACTTCAACTAAGCTACTTACTCTACCCAACATAAGAATTGTCCAGGTCCTTTCTCCTCTGTTTTATAATGTAGATCGTAACCTTCCCTTTCGAACCAACCTCTTAAGGTTTTCTTAGGATCGTCCAAAACTAAATTATCGTCGGCTATGCAAGCATAAGGATTTTCTTGCAAATCTGTTTCCTCATCCGCATCTTCTCCCATACCCCAGTCAATACCGACACTCTCTTTATCCTCTGTAGAATCTGTTTCGTTCCCTCGATCTATGTGTCGTTTTACTAATTCCAATGCTCTCATTTCCTAAAATATCACCTAAATAATCACCACTATGTTCACCGAACGAAGCATAAATCGTTAAACTATTTAACGTATATTCGAGAGAAACGTATTACCAAGTTTGTAGGGAACCCACAGGTGTATAGGATTACTTGCAGATAAGCTCGGGCCAAGAACACGTTAATTTACCTTTAATTCTGACACCGTGTACATAGATTCCTCCTCTTCATCGTCCAAAGGAGCTTGCAGAATAAATTTTCTTTGACTACATCCAAACCTAAGCATATGACCCTTTTGCACTCTCACATAAACGTTAGGCTTTATACGATTTCCATTCCAAAAAGTACCATGAGTACTTCCTAGATCGTAAACATAAAGACCTTTAGAATTTATGTTATCCTGTTCCGATCTGTATTGTAAAATAGCATGATGTCTCGAAATGGTTGGATGTGCCAGACATATATGGCACGTAGGTAATCGTCCGATCACATAGAAACTTTGTTCTTTGAGCGAAATTGTCTGAATAATCACTCCAGATTTTAAAATCTCCATGTAGTAATCATTTTCCGGTTTTCCACCCCAGGGTGGTTCTGTATACGGGAAAGGTTGATCTTTCGGATGTTCTTGAAATTTTGTAGTCTTATCCGAGTCACGATCTGTATTATCGTTGGTAAAATCCGTTGACGCTGTAAAATGTTTATCTTCCGGTCGAGACCGTTTAGAACAGATTGTCGTAGTTGGTTTCTTAAAAGTCGCAACAGTCTCAGAGGTATTAGGAATTACCGAAAAAGATCTCGTACAATTTTCCGTAATACTTTCATCTGCTTTCAAGTCACACGCTTTCTCGGCGTTTATTTTCGTTTCCATAATTCTGCTAAATATTACAATGACGGTCAATGACGGTCCTCACACAACTAAGAAACGAAACACCACTTTTTAATAATGCAAGAAATTCTTGTTTAAAATGTTTAAATATGCACGAAAACTAACTTTGCAACGAACAACATCATGTATACGGTAGAAGTAAGCGTTTTAAATAAGTTTACAAGAATGTTATTTACGTTTATTAATCTCACTAGGAAGCAGCAGTAGAGATGGCATGAACCACTAATTGTGTGTAGGGTCTCGCTGCCAACTTCACTCCGACTGACGGAGTAGGCAATAGAGGCAGTTGGCAGCGCAGAAACGCGACGGTGGCGACAGTGGTGACAGTTCGCCATTCAAATTCCGAGAGTCTTATAGCGAATTCGGGAACCACGCACAGCGTGCTTGCAGCTGTGATGACGAGGAAAACTGATGCTCGTTTAGCAGTGTAAATCCAATCGAAACCTGTTGCAATTACATAACCACTAAACAGGCAACACTTTTCTTCGTCATGCATTACATTCGAAGTTTAAAGAATGTAGATTAGTGCTCTATAACGGCTGGGAACCAGTAATTACAAAACATTGATAAAATCTCAATTGTTTGCAACGGTTGACACTGTATCTCGTCATGTGTACCCCGTTTAGTTTTCCTTCGACATCTCTTCCAACGTTACGCTGACAGCATTCGTCTTGACCGAGCACTCGAGTTGTAACTGAAAGAACGTAGATTAATCTCCTGTCAGTGGCAATAACAATAAACGACCGGAACACTGTTAAAATCGCAATTTATTTGCAACGGTCGACGCTGTATCTCGTCACGCGTACCCCGGTTAGTTCACTTTGGACAGCTCTTACACCGTTATACGGATAGCTTTCGTTTAGATAAAGCACTTGATTCGTAGCTGAAAGAACGAAGATTAATCCCCTGCCATTGACAATAACAATAAATGACCGGAATACTGTTAAAATCGCATTTAAACGCGGAATACCATTATTTTTGCGACCGGTGGCGCCACCCGTGGCAATTTGCTCAAACTGCTAGCCAAATCATACCGACAGGTAAGTGAAAATTCCTAATGATGGAAAAATGCGAATATCTCAATAATTAAGCGCTTAAAATGAACGTCATTAGTCTCAAAATGGTCCTTAGGCTTAATACATGGACCCAATAGTGCGGAACCCCAGAATTAGTAAAATTAGTTATGCCTGTATTATCGCAGCCCCTTATGAAGCGACAATCCTAATTGCAACAGATTTCGTTCGCATTTACACCACTGAAAGGGCATCATTCTTCCTCGTCACGCATTAAGAACTTAGATTAGTACTTTCTATCGGCTGTGAAGCAGTAATTACAAGAACATTGTTAGAATCACATTTATTTGCAATGGTTGACATTGCATCTCGTCATGCGTACCCAGTTTCGTTCACTTTGGACAGCTCTTACACCGTTATACGGATAGCTTTCGTTTAGATAAAGCACTTGATTCGTAGCTGAAAGAACGAAGATTAATCCCCTGCTATTGACAATAACAATAAACGACCCGAACACTGTTAAAATTGCATTTAAACGCGGAATACCACTATTTTTTCGACCAGTGGCGCCACACGTGGCAATTCGCTCAAACTACCAGCGAAATCATACCGACAGGTGATTTAAAATTCCTAATGATACAAAAATGCGAATATCTCAATAATTAGGCACTGAAAATGAACGCTGTTAGTCTCACATTATTCCTGTGGACTTAATGCATCGACCATATACTGCAAAACCCCAGAATTACTCAAATTATTTATGCCTGTATTAACGTTGGCTCTTATGGAGAGGCAATCCAAATAGCAAATGCTTTCGATCGCATTTACACCGCTGAACTACTACCCAGTAGTACGTCCTAAGTACTATTCTACGTTCTTGAGACTTTGAATTGAATATTAGTGTTTCTGTACAACTTATATCTTAAAAAATTGCTTCCAATTTTTCATATTCGCAAATGAAAAAACAAAAATTTGTCGTTTGCGCAATAGATACATAGTCAATGGTCTTTTTACACAAATATGGTACCAATTACCGAAGGAACCACGATCGCAAATCCTTCTGTTCGATGAATAATAAACGTATTGACACAATTTCCATCTGTCCACCTTTCGCAATATCTTACAACTAACTTAGATATCTAAATATTCTTATACCAACGATACGAAAATCCCACGGCGGATGACTTCTTTCTTAAGTCTACCTGAAAGTAAAATAAATCAAAAGAAAACAGAATTAAATAAAATATATCAAAATAAAACACAAGTAGTTAAAATAAATCAAAGTAGAACACAGTTAATTAATATAAATGAAAATAAAACACAATTAATTAGAATAAATCAAAACAAAATACAATTAATTAAAATAAATTAAAATAAAACACAGGTAATTAAAAAAAATGAAAAAAAATCCCAATTCATTAAAATAAATCAAAATAAATCATATATAATTAAAATTAGCTAAAAAAAAAAGGATGTGCAAATCCATTCGTCGAGTTCGAATAAGAGAGGTTGCCATGTAAAACCCCCCAATGAGCGCCAATAGTCGGTGATGCTAAAAAAAGAAGATTAGGACTTATTAATCGAGTTCGGATAAGAGAGGGAGGACTCATTAGGCACCACTGATCACCAAGCTATATTGGGAGAAAAAAAAAATCCAACCTGTTAGTCGGGTTCGGATAATAGAGAGGACCCCTTGAATCCCCTTGACCAGTGTCCACCAGTGTCCACCAGT